AAGTGCATCACCTGGGTATTTGGAGTGCACTTCTTCTTGCTGAAATTTCCTGTGTGAACACAATGCTCACACTATTTGTACTACAAAATGGCATAGGAAAGTGGCAAGCTGTTCAGTTCCTACAGTACATTTCAATACTGCCTCAGCCTCGCATTCCTCATCATTTTCTACAATGCATGAGTCCTGCTCTGGGATACTATATGGATGGAAGAAAGCATGGTTTACAGTAGCAGATGTGTAATGTTTATTTGTGTGAAGTTGAGGCACTCACCCCTCTGGGTGCTGGAGCACAGAGACCATCAGCTCCACGGCCAGGGCTCCAGCAATCATGGCCAGTCCGGGACGGCTCACAGTGCACTGCTGGTCTAGAGTTCTGTCTCTGGTAGACTAATTACGGAATAAGAGTTTACTAACAGGTCGAGTAACAACTGAAATCATGGAAACCAACATATTAATTATTCAGTCTGTAAAAGTGTTTTATTTTGGACCTGTCTTCAATCGTATTTTGCTGTAGGATATGATTTCCAGATAAAAGCGTCACTTTAGCATATGATTGATTGGTTTCAGCTGCACATTTGATATTCTAATATAATACGTGTCCTGAGAAAAACCTAATTTCAGCTAGGAAAGTGATTAAAAAAACTTGATTAAAACTCACGTCCCCAGGGGCGACCACGTCATTACAGAAGTAGCAGCCGAGACGATGTCCAGGTATGTTGGAGAATAGAGATGCTCCTGAAAGTGAACAGAAGTCATGCTTATAATAGAAAAAAACAACAAGAAAACATCAGAATACAGCACCTCTTAGATCTTCAAGTTTGCTAAACAGGTTCCACACCTTTTGACCAATGAATTTCTATGAACCTTGACCAATAAATGCAGTGAACTTATCTTTTGAATGAGGAGAGCTGGATATATATTTAAACGGATCATATGTATAAGAGCAAAATAAATGTTGGAAATTTTTGGAAGATGGCAGATATATTTACCAATTTGCCTGTTTGAACTTTTGTCATCTGATCACAGTTTTACAGATAAGATCATTACATTTCAATTACGCAAGAACTTAATTCAGTTACACCCAATAAAGAGGTAAACTCCTCTGGGGTCATTTCCACTCAACCATTACTGGACTGGATCTGTTCACTGAATGCAGCAATTACATGCCTACATTACAAGACAGACACGATGAAAGAAAAGGGACTCTGGTTATATTTGCACGACTAAGAAATGAAACACATTTAAGAAGCATCCAACATACTCAACATTTTGTAGATTTATTTACATAGGCATTATATATAAAAAAGCTGATTGTAGATGCTGTCCTTTTGAAGAAAGCTGCTTTTTGTCAACTTCATATTCATTAGCAGTTATAAGTAAATAAGTAGAAGCATAACAAAATGCAGTAAACGGTAAAACTATCTGTGCTACAAACCAGTGTTTATGATTACAATAATAAAAAATAAAAAAACATGATAAGAAATACCAGTTTGCAATATCAGCTAAAATAACTGGAAGCGGCTGTGTCGTTAAAAATAAGCATGTTAATAATTATGCTATTAAAAAAAAACAAAAAAAAAAAACATGAAAAACGAGCAAGTGATCATGACCCAAAAGTAATTAGGAATTTTCCATCAGAGCCATGGATATGATCAGCCCAATTCAAGCTTGAAGTAGCACCTTCATGGTTTTTCATGAGTCACACAACAGGCGCAGAATGAGTCACGAGCCAGTCACACAGGAGGCGCTCTTGCATTCACAGCTCAAAGGAGTGACAAAGAATAGAACAGAAAGCAGGGGTCTTGATTTAACTTAACACAGTCCTAAAAACACAGTGCTCATGGTGCGAGACAATGAAAAGCGTTAAGATGGACGTAAAATATGTCCATCTACAAGAATGGTAAAAATATCACAGGTGGAATACAAGAATCTGTTTTGTGTGAACGTCCCTCAAGCTCTGTTGTACCTCAGACCATACCTCAGACTGAGAGCTCAATGCAGCAAGAACAGGCAGCATAACTTTGTGTCCAATAGTAAAAGGCCATTAGCTAGGTGGATAGATAGTCTTAACAAACAGACTCCGGTACTTCAGAGCAGAGCTCTAAATATAAGACTAGAGAACTATGAATAATACCAAAAAATACATTCAATTATATTGACTATCCACCTTATTCCTACACCCCATGACGCTTTGAGCGAATTATGTGTGTAACTTCTGTTAAGCTGTAAACCATCAGTGAAAGGCTCGCCCTATGAACGCAATAATACTTTTTTTTTTTTTTTATCTGGGTAGAATGAGATGCCATTATTCTACTCGCCCTTCAACCATCGAACATTAAAATGACATTTAAAAGTGTAAAAGCATAAACAAGGTACTTTCAACAGACTATGAATAACCCCAAAAGCACTACTCTTTCCACTGCAATAACGGACGGGTGAAATATCACTCTAATATATACGTTGCCTTAATCAAAAATTTTCATTAACAATGCGTTAAGCATTGCGTGATAATATTTCAAAGTGATTTCCGTCATTTCGACAGATGATAAATTGTATTTACCTGTGAAAACAAACAAACCTGGAAAGAGACGTGAGGAGGAGAAAAGAAACGAGAAATTTTTTGTGCATTCCAGTGAATTATTAATGGGATACATCGTAAATTAAATCAAGAGAACAGAATGTTGTCCTTTTTCATACTATTACAGCGGAATGCAAAGGGAATAAAGAAAATAATCATGAGGAAAAGAATGCAGCGACTGAAAAGAGCTCTTGCCATAGATATTCTTGTTATAACATGTCACGTTAAAATACCAAGCGTTGTTATTCTCATGATGTCTGAAAATAAAACATGAAGGCAAATCGACAGCTCATTCAGTCAAAGAGACGGATAAGCTTTATTTGTAGGGCAACGTTTTTGAATGGAAGTTCCCTAAACCGGAAGTGCCATCCATAATTCAAAACGCAGTAGGCTCGTCAGGAATAAGGTGGATGGAAAATTCAGATATGAATGTTAGATATGACAGGCATGGTGATCACAATTTTGTAATTCAAACAAAACAGCTGATAAAAACATCACAAGTAATCCACAGCACTCCAGTCCATCAATTAATGTCTTGTGAAGCCAAAAGCTGAAACAAATCCATCATTAAGACGTTTTTAACTACAAACTGTTGCTTTCGAGCTCATAATCCATAATAATGCTTCCTCCAGTAAAAAAAGCCATCTGGTCTGAATCAGGAGAGAAATCTGCACAGATCAAGCACAGTTTACGAGCCAAAACAGTCCAAAACAGCTCTAAACAAATATGTGGCTGGATAACAAATATGTAAGTGCTATTAGAAACTAGAGGTCGACCGATAGTGGATTTTACCGATACCGGTAGCTAGGTGGCCGACACTGGCCGATACCGATTAATCAACCGATAGTTTTTGAAATGGATGTTGAACGAAAACTAAAATAGTGCTTTACTATTTAAAAACAAAAAATACTGAAACAGTACTGAACCATACTTTGTACATAAAATGTGCAAATTATATATTGATCATTAAAGTTATAGTTCATTAACTAATGTTAACAGAAGCAACGTACAAATTTAAAAATATATGAAGTCATTATGTACATTAACAATGATTTGGGACAAATATAATGTAATTTAACGGAAAACTGTGTGAATGCGCTCTGCGGCGCGGCAGGATTTCTGTCACTAAATCAACATATCAACATGCTTTCTCACGTCACAGCTTTAAATCTGCAACTTCAATGGATAACAAACGCATTAAAGTGGATATAGCTGGATATAAACTAATGCAAATAGACGGTAGCAATCGTGACATTAAACATTTGGGTCAGACTCGTGTGTGTTTTGGTCACATTGTTTTAATGGCTTGAGGTGCTGCTAATGTGTGCGTCCTCTCAGCCTTGACAGCAAACATACTGTTGTTCTTTCTCCACTAATGCAGCATCTAGTCAACAAATTAATTACTTAGTAATGAAATGAAAGCATGCACTACAGCAGTGGTCTTCACTATTTTTTTCATGGGAGCCGCACTGATATGACATCCAGTCATAAATAGCATGTCTTTTTATCAATCTGTCATATGCAATGCAATGAAATACAAAAGGGGCTATCATTATTTATCATTTACCAGTCAAATTTGTAACTGAGACAAGATTATTTAAAAAAAAAGCAGGATTACCTTAATGCTGGAAAGACCTTAAGTTATTTTATTTTTTATACTAGCCCATCATGTATCTAACCATCCGAGTGCACATTCGGCGTTAAGAGCTGTTAAGATTAAAACTGGTCAGTGTCATGGACGTAGGACAGAGCAAGTGTAAATATATTTTCTAGTCTATATTTCCATCTCTTAAATGCCGCTGTTTTAGGTATTTTTAAAAAAATATATAAATTATTTGTAATAGAGCAGACACTGTCTGACCGTGCCTACACCGGACGCAACAGTTGTCGTGCCGCGCCCTGCTGTGCTAAAAGTCTGTCTACACTTGACGCGACAAAGCGACAGTTGCAAATCATTTGAACGTAGTGTCAGTACAGTTCGTCATAAATAGAACGAGGCATCAGTTTACTGATGGGGATCGTGTCGCATCGCATGGTGCCGCGCCGCATCCAGTGTAGACAACATCACTGGGTTCTATTGTCTTTTGTCGGATCGCGCCACTCGCGTGCGGTGTAGACATGGTGTGAGTTTTTTTAATGGGTTATGTTATAGCCCTGCTTGTTTTTAATGTTTTTATGAAATATCTGTATTGACTGCATGATCATATCATCATATTATTTACTGCCATGCAAGGTACAAAGTAAAGCTTGGCGATCCGCGCAATGAGTAACACTGGTCTAGAGCACAGAACTGACCAGCCTGTGGCCAAACATGCGAGCCACAAAGTAAAGCTTGGAGAGCCGCATGAGGCTCGCGAGCCGCGCAATGAGTAACACTGCACTACAGTATAATGTGTACACACCGTTTAGTTGTCGATGTTTTAAATCCGCGAGTCTGAAGTGTCCGCTCTCAGTGTCACGTGTCAAAACAAACAGCACGTGCTGTCAGTGATTTCCGCCTCTAGAGGCCGCTCTCGCTCTCGTACTGTATAATGACAGCGGAGCTTCAGCCGCTCCAGCAACAGACGCAACCCAGAAAAACTATCGGCATAGATTTTTACAGATAGCCGATAGTTCCAGCAATCAACTATCGGTGCCGATTAATCGGCAAAACAGATACATCAGTCGACCTCTATTAGAAACAACAGTTTGATGTTAAAAATGTCTTAATGCTGGATTTGTTTCAGCTTTTGTCTTCTCCAGATGTTAACTGATGGACTGGAGTGCTGTGGATTACTTGTGGATTATTGTGATGTTTCTATCAGCTGTTTGGACTCTCATTCTGACGGCACCCATTCACTGCAGAGCATCCATTGCCGAGACACTGATGCAATGCTACATTTCTACAAATCTGATGAAGAAACAAACTCATCTACATCTGGGATGGCCGGAGGGTCAGCACATTTTCAGCAAATGTTCATTTTTGGGTAAAATATTCCATTAACTGTGATGACTGATGACTTGACATTTTGCATTTGAGGTTTACCGTAAAGCTCTGCTTTGTGTTTACATTCTGCTTTTACAACATACTTAATCTAAACAGCAACAAAAGCTGTGAAAAACACCTGGATATGTTTGAGCTGTACCTGGTGTGATGGTGGCTGCTGGTGTGGAGGAACATGAGGAGTTGGAGGAAGCAGACATGGGGCTGGACTCTTCAGACTGTGACTCTTTGGGTTTCTTAAGGCCGTGTCTCATTACCACAAACGTGTCGAATCCCAGAGCAGCATTAACTATCAACTGCAGAGAGACCGACATATTGAACTCTCTCTAAAAAGGTTCAGTCTGGATATCAAGTAAACCAAAAGATGTTATGCAAAAAAGCAAAACAATTCTAAAACTTCATTTCCAGTTTTGAATTTGATTTTAGGTTGGATTTGCTCTCAGCCTTTTGGGCCTAGCAGCTGTACTATTACTATTATTAACAGAAAACTATTATTATAATTATAATATACATTAAATCATTTTAATAGTAATTATAAACTAATAATAATGTTATTAAAACAATTTTTATAATAATAATAATAATATTGCTACTGTAATCAGTTATAATAAACATACATATGTGCAGTATGCCCATTTTAGAGTAAAGTGCTGCAAATATAGAAGCCCCCTGTTATGTCAGATAGGGGTTATTTGTAGTTAAAGGTTCTTAAATCAGATACAGGACAACCTCTGTGTAGCACTTACCAACAACTGTGACAATAACCTACAATAAAAAGGCAGGCAGCCACGTGAGCAGAAAATAAATAATGAAATATTGGAGGGAGGAAGCTACCTTTCTCTGGCTAGCAGCGATGACGGTCGGAAGCCAGCGGCTCTCACGAGTGTCCATCAACAGGAAGACCACATCGTGTTCAGAGATAAGCTTCTCCAGCTGTTCCACATCCTGCCGAGCTTGAGCCATTGTCAGCTCAGAGAAGTTCACTGGGTGGCCTGGCATTGGGATGCTCATGTTGTAGCCCTCTGCATTCTGAATAATATATTCACAAAAGATGACATACAAAAACTTTTAGTTACTGAAAAGCTAAAACATTATGTTTAAAATATGAAGTAAAAATGATTTTGAACACTGATGTCTGCACCCACTATCAATAGAATTGATAGTGACAGGAAATTTGGTACATCCATTCTGAAGTATCTAACAAGTAACATGTCAGGCCATTTGCAGAGTTCTGCATTTCAGAAGGTTTGAAAATAAGCAGCTGTGTATCATCTACATGGCTCTGAAAGTTTATCCCATGCTTCCTGATTACATTACCTAAAGGTCACATACTGTATACAATATAAACAACAGAGGTCCTAATACAGAGCCACCTGGGACTCCACAAAAAAGTACATTATCTTTGGGGGGGGGGGACCCTGTAAACAATCTAACCAGCTTTGATTGTTCAAGTCCATGAATGAGAATAATCTCATGCATTGTATCAAAGGCCGCACTGATATCAAGCAAGACAAATCTCTAAGTATTGTGTTTATCGTTCACATCTCAAGTGCTGTTTCTGTACCATTGTCAGAATGAAAAAGTAAGATTAAGTAGATTATCATCAACCAGATGTTCACTTAATTTAGCAAAGACAGCCCAAAATTACTAATAACATATTTAAGTCGGACAAATCTATACCTAAGACGAAAAGGAAAAAATTAATTTAAAATGTATGCGCCAAGTTCTTAGATATTGCAACCTTTGCCAAGTGACCATCTTAACTGAACGACTGTCTACACAGGCTTTCAGTCATCCACACAGAACCTCACAAAGGACAAACCGCAGCCACTCCCAGACTGTTGCTAAACTAATGTCTGTCTGTAAACCCAGTATGAACTCAAAGACACTTAATTCTCACAGTTCGACCAATATATTAACGTAGATAGCTAATGTTGATTTGTTTTGACAGTATAGCCAAATTTGTATGTGAAAAGGGCTATAGAAATAATAATTACTTTTGTATTTAAACATTTTTGAAGAACCTTTATATCCCTTTTCAACATGTTTTTTTTTTAATGACTTTAAAATATCAAGTGGTTTAACGGTCAACATTTTTAATAGAGCTTTAAAATGTGTTTCCATATCTGAATTATTTTAAATCATTTTCAAACACTTTTTATGACAAAAGTATATTAATATCTGTTTGAATAATGAATTTCTTTGGGGTTCATTGGCCATTTTGAATTTGACAACTTGAACTTATCTTGTCAAATAAGGTTATATATTTATTCACTATATTTTACTGATCAAGAGGCATTCTGACTATGAGGGTCTAAAGGACACCTCTCTGTGATATTATCTACTGTTATATGGGTTTTCAGTCATGTTCAACATTCAATCCTGCATGTTGATTTTGATGATACAGGTTATTTTAAAACAAAATTGCTTCACTGTTGTTTATTCTTTTAAGATTTTGTTTTTTTAAATTCAGACTTTATCAAGTTATTAATAAGGCATTCTTGAGACACTGTCTGCTCCAGACAGTCATATCACCTTGACATTTCAGAAGGATTTTAATACTTCATCAGAAGCTGACTTCAACCTGTCATAGTGAGTTAAAGGCTTCAACAGGGCTCGAACTGAGGGGGGAAAAAGATGACAACAGCAGGTATGATATTTCCTTGATTAGAGTTTAAAGACCTTCCCCTGACATAATATTATTGTGCTAAATCAATATCCCTGTATGATTTTTTTATATTTATCACACAAGCAAGAGTGCTTTCCTGAATATCAGCACATGTGCATGATCACAAATGTGCTATTAATTTTTATACAACAGTGCAGAGCAACACTGCAGGGTCTCGTTCCTGAATGAATCTGTTTTTGAATGAATCCTGAGCCAATTATTCAATGATCCATTCATCAAGACAGTCACTTGCTACATTTCTAATTGAATCAGCCATTTAGAACAAATCGTTTGACTGAATGATTCAGTGAATCATTTATTAAAACAGGGACTTGCTGCCACCTACTGGTGGTTTCAGTGTCATTTTTATTTATCCAGGACAGGCCTAAATCAGCCACGATACCAGCAAAAACACATTCAGCAAAATATAGTTTAATTCCTCGTTTAAAAAAATCCCATTTCAGGCCCCAGAAGAAAAACAGCTTATCAATCATAGTTCATTTAAGAAAGCTTATATTTTGTTAAATAACAAGGTGTTTAAAAATAAGACAAATTTTGTAATCACTGTATAAAGTTAGCTACAGGACCCCCCGCCCCACCAAAGAAATACTTGACCATACCATGCCCCCTGAATTTTTTTATACAATTCGACCACTGGGCTTCAATATTCAGCTCAAGCAAGAGGGGAGAAATACACAAAAAAAAAAATGAATGAGATATGTTTTACTACTGTAGATTTGAGAAAATGATCATACATAAACTCAAGAGCATCAAAGCTCAGAAAGCAGCACTGGCAATCTGACCACATCTATTGATCTGGCATCTATTCAGCATGTTTGTGTCAACATTTGTTGTAACGGAAGACATGATTTCAGTTTTGCGAGGTGAGCAGTCATCTCATCCCACTATCTGAGTGAAAGAGGGGCGAGAGAGAGAGAGAGAGTTGTAATTACTGTGGATATCTGGCCCGTCTAATTGGCCTGACACACGCAGGGGTTCTGTGAAGGTAAAACGTGTGGCGTAATTAGCCGAACGGGGGAGCAGATCGATACAGGATGAGCAGATGAATTAATGATGACCAGAGTAAACACAGCAGACAGCTCATTTCATCACGGCTGCCAAATAAAGACATGATAGAAACGCAAAGATTATTTAGCCAGGTGTACTGAACCATCCCTTAATAAGACCCATCCGTTCACACACACACACACACACACACACACACACACACACGAGCGTCCACAGCTCAACTGATCAGATGGTGCACGTCTTACATAAGGATATCACTCTCGCTCTTGTTTTAGCACTTCCGCACTTTGCACTCGGAAAAATAACATTTGGAGCAAATGAAGAAATTGGCACCAAAGAGACATTTATAATGAGGCCCTTCTGAGGTGTGATCAGATAATAACTTGACCAACAACAGTGTAATGTTTCTGCATTTCGGCGATTAGACAGAAACTAAAGCTACAGTGATGAACACTGACCCATCAACCTGCTGTAGAAATGAAGGTGAATGTGAGGTGACATGGATGTTTACAACAACTAATCAGTAAAATCAGTAAGGAAAATAAACAACACATTTCAATGAATTGGGCCATTGCACACAGAAATGCATCTGTAATGCCACTTTAAATTCATGAAACACACACACACGCCTTCTTCTCTAATACTGTGCTACTCTGATAATATTGGAAATTTGATGTGGAAGTGGTAATTGGATTTATTGATAAATATGAACTGCAAGTTTAATAGGTGCTGAAAAATTTTTTAATATATACCAGTAACCTATATTATATAGACTAAAAAGACATAAAATATTTGAATTCATAATTACACTTATATTATGTTGCAGGTCAGTTTGACCTATTTCTATTGTTGAGTTGTGGGAAATACTGGTTAAATTCTGATGTTTTCTCATTCAGGAAATGCCTGCAAAGTGTCGACACTCTGATGTGTTGTGGATTGTGTGCACTCTTTTACACTATAAAATTATGAATTTCTATTATGATTGTGATGTTTGCAGGTCAATTTGAAGCAAAAAAAAGATATTTTATGCACTCCAAAAAGATAACCCGTCCGTTCTCAGGTGCGTAAATCAAGAAAAATTTGATCAACCAAAAATCTAAAATATTCCAATTTAAAGGCCCTAACCCCAGCAAAACATTTATGGGGAAACATGTGGGCCGGATGGGCTGAATCTTAGCCCAAGCAAACCTGTTTGCTTTGACCTCATATACAGTGGGTACAGAAAGTATTCAGACCCCCTTAAATTTTTCACTCTTTGTTATATTGCAGCCATTTGCTAAAATCATTTAAGTTAATTTTTTTTCCTCATTAATGTACACACAGCACCCCATATTGACAGAAAAACACAGAATTGTTGACATTTTTGCAGATTTATTAAAAAAGAAAAACTGAAATATCACATGGTCCTAAGTATTCAGACCCTTTGCTGTGACACTCATATATTTAACTCAGGTGCTGTCCATTTCTTCTGATCATCCTTGAGATGGTTCTACACCTTCATTTGAGTCCAGCTGTGTTTGATTATACTGATTGGACTTGATTAGGAAAGCCACACACCTGTCTATATAAGACCTTACAGCTCACAGTGCATGTCAGAGCAAATGAGAATCATGAGGTCAAAGGAACTGCCTGAAGAGCTCAGAGACAGAATTGTGGCAAGGCACAGATCTGGCCAAGGTTACAAAAAAATTTCTGCTGCACTTAAGGTTCCTAACCTGACAGAACTGGAGAGGATCTGCAAGGAGGAATGGCAGAGGATCCCCAAATCCAGGTGTGAAAAACTTGTTGCATCTTTCCCAAAAAGACTCATGGCTGTATTAGATCAAAAGGGTGCTTCTACTAAATACTGAGCAAAGGGTCTGAATACTTAGGACCATGTGATATTTCAGTTTTTCTTTTTTAATAAATCTGCAAAAATGTCAACAATTCTGTGTTTTTCTGTCAATATGGGGTGCTGTGTGTACATTAATGAGGAAAAAAAATTAACTTAAATGATTTTAGCAAATGGCTGCAATATAACAAAGAGTGAAAAATTTAAGGGGGTCTGAATACTTTCCGTACCCACTGTATATGGTGTTAATGAATTCATGCTTTTATTATGTTATAGCCTGCCCTGGAATATTTAGTATGCATACTCCTTGTATCTCTGTGTGCTGGAGATTTAAGGGGAATAAAAAACTATGAAGGGGGCCCTTGGGTTTGCTACAGCCCCAGGGCCCTCTGTGTTCTGGACATGATCAAAAGCGTCGACGTCTGAGTGGATGAGTTGTTTTCTAACAGTCATTCTCATTCATTGCTGTTGTTTATACTTTTACCAAAGTGTGACTGTTCA